CCTCCATCTCCCCGGGGTCCCTCCATCGCCCCGGGGGTTCCTCCATCTCCCCGGGGGTCCCGTCCCCTCCCCGGGCTGCCGCCGGGCATCCCTCCGGGAACAGCGCACGGGAAGCCGGACGGGGCAGCGCTGAGTTGGCTCCAGTTGCCTTCCTGGGTGTGGGGGTTTCGGCGCGTCCCGTGCTCCGGTAATCCGGGTCGCTGAGGGGAGAGCTGAACAAAGAGCTGAGGGCAGAGTCAACAGAAGTAATCCCGAGGTGCTTGCACCAGGACACGAGAACAAGAAAGAATTTGGGGACTGGTTGTTGACACTGGTAGTGCTTGTCACTTGAGGAAACAGTGAGATCATAGAATCGTAGAGTGGTTTGGGTTGGAAGGGACCTTCAAGATCATCCAGTCCCAACCCCCTGCATGGGCAGGGACACCTCCCAGCAGCCCAGGCTGCTCCAAGCCCCATCCAACCTGCCCTTCAACACTGCCAGGGATGGGGCAGCCACAGCTTCCCTGGGCAGCCTGGGCCAGGGTCTCACCACCCTCATAGTGAAGAATTTCCTCCTAATGTCTCACCTAAATCTTCCCTCTATCAGTTTTAGTCCATCACCCCTTGTCCTCTCCCTCCCTGCCCTTGTCCCATGTCCTTCCCCAGCTTTCCTGGAGCCCCTTCAGGCACTGGGAGCTGCTCTAAGGTCTCCCTGGACTCTGGACTCTCCCCAGGAACTCCACGTCCTTCTTATCCTGGGGGCTCCAGAGCTGGACACAGTGGTCCAGATGAGGTCTCAGGAGAGTGTGACTTGGGGAAGTGATAAAAGTTAATTGTATTTCCTCAGTTTGGGCAGTGAAGCTGCAGTGAACTTTTACTTCTCAATATCGTTATTCTAGTGAGGTTTGGCTTTTCAGTTTCTGGGTGTTAGTAGGTCAGGAGGCTTTGCAAATGACACACTAATGATGCAATTAACAGTTTCTGTCCCTGGAAGCTGTTCCTGTTCATTGCACTGGCCAGAAACTGACAGCAGGAAAACCATTTTTTATTGTACAGTTCAGTCATTTGCAACTGGAGAAGGAAATGTATTTATAAGGTTGCTTGATGTACAAAGGCTTTGGCAAGGTAATCCGAGTTGTTCTTATAAATAACTTCAGCTCTTTTGGGCCCCATTGCCCAATGGCATCTGGTGGTTCTTTGGATAGGATCTACATTTCAGTCTGTAAAGTGTGTTAGTTATTAATACCAAGCAGTGGTTATTCTGATCCTAACCTTGTCAGGGGCTCTGCAAGCCTTTCACTTGACGTGCTGCTGAAGTTGTTTCCTTTGCAGTTCCTGTGTGCTGGGTTGTTTGGGAGGCTGCAGCTGACTGCCAAGTCTTTTTGTCATAAGCATCTCTGTAGTAAATTCTATTAGACATAATTTTTGTTATTAGATTATAATTTTGTCTGTTTCACACATGGAGTACTTTGGGAAGCATCTGAAAAGACATTTAGTTCTCACTGCAGGTAGTATTTCTTATTATTCCTGATTGTTTGCTAATTAGCAAACTGTTGAAATAATTGTTGTAGAATAGCACCCTTCATTCTCAGGCTGCCCTGTGTTTGACCGAGCAGCACGAGAGCAGACACCTCTGAAGTTCAACAAGGGCAAGTATAGAGTTTTGCATTTGGCTAAGAGAAACACCATGTCCCAGTACAGGTTGGGGGCTGAGCTGCTGGAGAGCAATGTAGGTGAAAGGGACCTGGGGGTCCTGGTAGACAGGAGGATGACCATGAGCCAGCAATGTGCCCTTGTGGCCAAGAAGGCCAATGGCATCCTGGGATGCATTAGAAAGGGTGTGGTTAGTAGGTCAAGAGAGGTTCTCCTCCCCCTCTATTCTGCATTGGTGAGGCCACATCTGGAGTATTGTGTCCAGTTCTGGGCCCCTCAGTTCCAGAAGGACAGGGAACTGCTTGAAAGAGTCCAGCGCAGAGCTACGAAGATGATTAAGGGAGTGGAACATCTCCCTTATGAGGAAAGGCTGAGGGAGCTGGGTCTCTAGCTTGGAGAAAAGGAGACTGAGGGGTGACCTCATCAATGTTTACAGATATGTAAGGGGTGAGTGTCAGGGAGATGGAGTTAGGCTTTTCTCAGTGATGACCAGTGACAGGACAAGGGGTAATGGGTGTAAATTGGAGCATAGGAGGTTCAAGGTGAATATCCAAAAAAATTTTTTTACTGTGAGAGTGACAGCCCAGGGAGGTTGTGGGGTCTCCTGCACTGGAGACATTCAAAACCCCCCTGGATGCGTTTCTGTGTGATGTGCTCTGGGTGACCCTGCTCTGGCAGGGGGGTTGGACTAGATGATCTTTCAAGGTCCCTTCCAACCCCTAGGATTGTATGATTCTATGATTCTGTCTGGTTCTGCTTGCCTTGTGTTCACCCCAGTTCATCTCCAGTCTGGTGGGTTGTTGGCAGGGTTGTGGAGGAGGTCCCTTCCTGTGGCGGGGGAAGAAGAAGAACCATTTCCTACACTTCCTCTCATGGTGCCAGGGAGTCTGGGATGTTCTTGCTGCTGGTCAGCACCATGCTTCTTCAGATCATCACAGCAGTAGAAAATAAATTGCAAGTGAAGTGTTTGCTGCACCTCAGGTGGTGATGAGAACTTCCCTGTTCCATCTCAGCCTCTGGCACTAAGAGTTTATTATACATTGTTAATAATGGTTGATGATCCAAGTGATAATTTCTTGCTGAAGTAACAAGAATGGTTCTAGTCAACCTTAAAGGGATCAAAGACCTTTTCCTTGTGGTTTATTTCTTAAAGAGGCACTGTTCACAAATAAGATTCCTGTGGCTAACTTACAGGTGTGAGGTTTTAATATTTTGATAATAAAAGAACAAGAATATCACAGGTGTTTGAACCAAAGCTGGAGGAGCCTATGGCAGGGTTTGACACTTGAGAAAATCAAGCAAGAGAGAACTGAAGTTGAGTAGTTAAGAGTTAGCACAGGTTATTTTGTGGGACTTTGTGAAAAGAATGCCTCTTTGAGCTGTTCTTTGACACTACCTGCCAAAACCAAAGATACGTTTTGTGTCTGTTGAAAGGTCACGTATGTGCTGGTGGAGGAGGGCTGGGAGGTGTGTGCTGCAGCCAGCACGTGGTGTGGTGTAAAACCTGTGTTCTCCAGCAGAGATATGCACCCCCTGTGAGAGGAGCACTGAGGTGTGTGTCACACCTGCACCACCTCTGCCAGGCTCATTCCAGTGCTGTGGAACTTGCTGCTTTTTGGATTGCAGGGTCAATGAGCTGACTGAGAAACGTGGCAAGAATGACCAAGTTATCCAAGTCCTGTGAGTGAGGTGCTCAGGAGTTGCCATCAGAAAGCTCATTCCACAGCTGCCAAGCATGATTCTTGTGTTTCACTGTTTTTCACAATGCGTTTTGCATTGTGCAACGCGGCACAGAACAGGACAGTCAGTGTTGCCGAACAATGTGTGCACTTACTCAATCTTGAAATTTTACATTATTTGAGCTGTCACTTCTTCCTTCATGTTCAGCAAGGAAGCAAATGGCCAATTTTTTTTCCACATTGTAGTTCTGGTAAGAACTGTAGGTGGTTGGGGAGGAAGACTTGATGTTAAGCTGGAGAGTGGAACTTAAGCAGGATCCTCGGCTCCTTTAGGTTTTTTGAAGTTAATAAGTAAAAGAAGGAGACTTTGTCTCCCTGTCACTGTAGATTGTGAACACTTTTTATGGTTTTAGGCTAACACCTTGTTGCTAAATGGAAGGTAAGATTCCCTTCACTAATGAGTTTACAGATGTTGCTTAATACTGACAGCTGCTTAATACCAGTGCATGTAGGTGATGCACTTCCTTGGCTTTCACAGAAGGCTTGGAAGTTACACCCTTTAATCTGCTATTACCACTATATATAATAAACTTACGGGGGAATATCTTGAAGTAACTTTCTGTGGAGGACTTTAAAACGGTCCATGACATGACACGTCTCACTTTGTGGGTGCTTCTTAGCACTGTATACTTTTGCCTTTTTAAAGAATGGAGTGAGAAAGGTGGATTTCAGTATTTCCACAGTAGGAATGTGATGGTTGTGAGTGCTCAGTTTCACTCTGGGAAATCCCCACTGGCAGGATGAGAAGCTTCCTCTGGATTTAAGAATGCTTCCCAGCACATCCGTGTGTCCTGGTGCATCGCTTTTTTTAGCTCTCTAGTATTTGAAACCACTAGCTCTTGTTACTTGCTCATTCTGGAAATGCCTTCAGTTGGTGGCATTTCATGACTGACAACTATCATGTTTATTTTCTGGGCATCTTTGGCCAAGAAATATCCTACCCTACATACAAGAGTTCTGGGAAGGGTGGTTTTCTTAGATCTGCACGTAGGACAGCAGGAACATAGAACAAAATCCAAATGTACTATCACTAGAGTTGACAGACCAGGGGGTATTTGCATTTCAGTCATGGAGCAAGTGTTGCTTTGACTTTCTCAGACAAAAGAACAGGGTTGCTGCTCCTGCCTGTGGGTCACCCTGCCAGAGAAAACTAGGGAAGAGGGAGGCATTTGAGAGCCTATTTAAATATTAGCATACTTAATAATTAGACCTCATTCTGCCCTCAGCTCTCTTGTATAACCTCTAGAGACTAGTGAAAATGCAAGTGGAATTTGTCTTTTAATTTAACTTCTGATCTAAACCTAATGAGTTAGGCCAGAGGAGCAGTGCTAACAGTGGCTTATTTCAAAGAATATCCAACACAAATATCATTGTAGGCACTTCCTTTAACAAGCACTCTTGGTTTTAAAAATCTGAAAATTTCTGCTATTTTCTTGCAGATGATGTTGATTCTGGCCTTGGTTTCTGTGAATGGATCCTGGTGATCACTTCATTTGTTTTCACTCTTTTTACATTGCCTATATCAATCTGGATGGCCATAAAGGTAAAATTGTTCACTGCTAAGTTGGATTAAAACTGTAATCCATGCAGATGCTTCCTAGTGATTATTATGGTTCTCTATTTTATTTATTTGTTTTAAACACAAATTAATCTAAATCTGCTCTTTCTTGAACAGTAAATAGCGGAGCCCAACGTTTCAGCATGTTAATCTTCAAACAAACAAACAAAAAGTGTGATTACAGGATTTAGTCAAGACAATTTTTTTGTTGACATCTTCTACACTAATGACAACTGGGTAGATGTAGCAAAACTAGTTTGGAAGATCAGAATAATTGTAAGAATGCATAACTACTCTTAGAGGACTGGTATTATAATTTACTTTTTTAAGGACATCTTTCCC